AGAAAATCAATGACTGTGTGACCCGGAAGAACAAGGATGTAAGGCCAAGATTCCTGCAGTCCTGTCCCCCTTAAGAAGCCCCATGAGGTGGTGCATGCCTGCAGGTTACTTGAGAGGCCTAAAGGAGAGGATCCCTTGAGCCCAGGCAGTCAAGACCAACCTGGGGAATGCCCCTTGACCCCTTCTCAAAACAATAGGTAAAGGTCTCCAGGACACTCCACAGACTAGTTTCTGTTTACAATGGGCTATTTCTGTGCCCTTTCCCTGCCATCTACCCTTGTGAGGAAAGCTTATCTGCTTGGCAGGTGAAGGGCTGAGGAGGGCGGCATTTTCATATCAGGTGGCTGGCTGGTTATGGCAAGATCTGGGCTTAGCACTTAGATTTTTCTCTGACCCATTCAGGGTTCCTGCCTTTTGGCCCCCATTGTGTTGGAGTAAATCCATAGGAGGAAACAACTAGATGACAGAGAGGAATCCTTCTATTGTGCCAGAAGCAAAACCTGCTCCTCAAAGACAGAAAGGTCTAAATTGTTAGATCTGTGGCCTGGACAGGTTGTGGTGAGAGTAGCAAATGCTCTCCTACTTTGGCCCAGGCAACTGAAAAATGAAACTAGCATGAACTGCATTATTGTCAGCTCAGAACTTCAGTGGAGTACATGGCAAGAGCTCTAGTAGAAAAAGCCTTGATCTCGGGCCTCACTGCCTCCTGATTGTCTAAAGACAACAGGAGCGTTTGTTCGTTTGCTCGTTTGTTTGGGTGCTCAGAGTTGAGTCCTTGCTTTGAACAAGTGATCCATCACAGGATCATAGCAGCCCCAGTCCCATTACCAGTCCCAAGGAGACCATTTCTATCAATAAAACTACCAAGAAGTCCCATCACTTCTCTGATGTTTCCTTGGATACCTGAGACCACACTAGAACTCATAGTCCCCTCAGAAGAGTTCCCAGATCTGTTACATTGTTTTAAAGTTGCTGTTCATCAGGGGATTGAAAAATAGTCATGACACAGGAAACCCAGGAAGTCCAGAGATGGACCACTTCTAGCCCCTCCCTATATGGGCCACTTGAGTTGTTTTAAGAGAGCTGAACTCAGTTACAGGACATCTTAGAGTCAGCCTTGGTCACTAGAAGTACTGTACACCTGCAAGAAGTATGGTATGCAGTTAGAGAGGCACAGCTAAGGTGGTGTTGCTGATATCCACATGGCCTCATCACTACCCTGCCCCCTCATTCCTGAGCCCAGGGGAGCTCTTTCTCCCTATATCTTTAAGTCATTCCTATGTTGCTTTTGTAATGGGAAGCATAGAGTATTTTTCAGATTACTTTCTTTCCTCTTTTGCCACTTTTTAATGGGGGAGGAGAGATATAACTCAATAGTAAATATTTGACCACCATGCCCAAGGCCCTGGCTTCAATTTCCAGCACTACAAAGGAAAAAAAGAAAACTATAAAAGAAAAAAAAAGGTTGTATTGAGATATAATTCGCATATTATGCCAATCATCAAAAAAGCACACATTTAATACTTTTAGTATTTTTCACAGATTGTACAACTGTCTCCAATGGTATAATTCGAGAATGTTCCATTTCCCCTGGGAATAAAATAAAACCTACTCATACTCAATCTTCACCCTACCCCCAGTCCTGTGAAACCACTGATTCACCTCCATTTCTATGCATCTTCCTCTCCTGGGCATTTCATTTACATGGAACCAGACAATATGATGACTTCACCTAGCATGTTTTCAAAGTTAATTCATGCTGTGGCATTTATTGCGTTTTTAAAAATTATTTTACTAGCATGTTTATACTTTGATAATTTCATTCATATGTACATTGAAATATCATATACACACTGATTCCTCCCTTTTAACTCCATGTCTTCTTTTTATATCCCTCTAAACCCAATTCCAGTGTATATCTGTATAGGACCATTCACAGAAGCATGGGAAATCCACCAGTGTCTATGTCCTCCTTACTGGAGACTTTTAAAATTGCCAAACAGTTCATGCATCCGTTGATGGAATTTGAGTTGTTGAGAACAGCACTACTGTAATAACCATGCACTGTGTAGCCAGGCTGAAAAGACCAGCAGCCTCCTTTATGGCTACTGTGCAGCCAAAACCTTGCCATCCGTGTGCTTTGAGATGTTGAGGAGGCCTGGACACCTTTCTCCACTGTGGCTAATCAATAAGTTGGCACTGAACTATTCATTTTAAGTGTGTAACTTAGTCATAGCTCCTAAGTTCACATAATAGTTGGGCAAAATGAAAAATGCCAGCAAAGTTTTTTTCTTAATGCCCCAGCTCCTCGACAGGCCCTACACAAGTGTGCCTGCACACAGTACACAATGCGGGTGCTTTCTTCTTCCCTCCATGCTTGTTGGTCCAGCTGTCTTGGCTTTCTGCTTCAGAACCAAAGTTGATGGGCAAGACCAATAACCAAGCGGTGGAAGCCAAGCCCAGTGCCAAGGCTGGAGCCAGAACATAGCCACTGCTGCTGGATTAGAAATACTGGAAGCTATCCTTGGCCATTTGGAGATGTTAATTAGGCTGGCAAATCCCCACTGGTCTTGGGTTGCCAGTGTTGAGTTTCGTGTGCAGGCTTTCCCATCCACTGCCTGCACCTGTTCCCCTCCTCAGAGCCATTCCAAGGGGTCTGAACAACCCCCATCAGTTCTCTGATCCCCTTCTGCCTGCCTTCCTGCTGGGAGAATAGTTAGCACTTGCCTAAAGCTGGAACCCCAGTCCTGTCTTTCTCCCTCACCATGCCAACTCTCAAAATCATTCCCTTTCCTAATTATCTTGAGCCAGTTCATCTTTTCCACACTAACTGTTCAGTAGCAAGGATGTGGGGAGAGGCAGCCACATCCTTGTCTGCTCTGGCCCAAATTTACCCCAGGTGTCAGTGCTGCAGACCTTCCTCCGAGATAAGAAGCTTGCTTCAGACACCACTCCTTTGCAGCTGGAGGAAACATGCCCTATAAAGACCCATGGATTCTCAAGTAGCATCCCTAGGCAGAGCTGTAGAAAATGCAAATCTCCAAACATATTTGTTGTTTCCTGAATTAAAAAAGGAAATCTTTGTTGATATCCAAAATACCAAAGAAATCAAACAACACCAAAAAGTAAAACCCTTCTTTAAAAATGGCCTCTGGATTCTCTAGGCTTAAACGTTTGTGTCTGAGCCACCAATTGACCAAAACTATGCCATTTGGCGTCTGAGTTAGACTATGAAGGAGTCTCCCCAGCTGCTCCTACATGGAAAGGAGCTGGCTGCTGATTTCCCAGTACAATTAATGTCCACACATGTCTTCTTCTTCAAAACACACTGTAACCCTGCAGTACAATGTCCTGAGTCACCATCGAACCTCTCAAGACCCTTGTTTCCTAACTGGACTTCTCCCTTTGGGTACTACAGAAATGTATGTGTTTGTGTGTTTGTGTGCTCTATCTCCCCCACCGTCCACTACATTCCCAAAAGCAAGGGGGTTTTGTCTGCTGTATCCATTGCTACAGACTGTAATGGTGTTCAGAACACATCTGGTGTGCAGTGTATGAAAAGGAGGGCGGGGAAGTCACGCTTCATGCCTCTTTTCTCCCAGGCATTGTGTGCCTCCCAGTCTCTTCTCATTCCTCATCTCCAAGCTCAGTATCTTCTCTTCTAGGCTCTTCAAATAGTGTGCAGGGTAGCTGATGCTCTGGGCTAACCCCTGGGGTTGTACTAAGAGGCAGCCTGCTCCCTGGCCCTAGCAACTGGGACCTCACCCTTCAAGAGTACTGCCTGGATGTCAGGAGCAGGTGACATCTGAGCCCTATGGAATAATCAAGGCAGCCTCCAACTGCCTCTGCCTATGCATCTCCTTAACTCAACCATGGATTGGCAGTTACTGAGATACTCTTTGTGGGCCGGCTCACCACACCAGGTTGTGTCTGGGGACCCTCAGGAGAGGAGCAGACCAGTCCTCATCAGCAATTACAAACAAGTCCTCCATTGTTAGCATGCCATCTGCTTTCTGGGTTTCTACCAATCAGGGGCCTGCATGCATAGTGTAACCAGGGCCAAGGGGACTGCAGAAGAATGAGATCAAGGAGCCCCTTCATAAACAGCCTTTTCTCACTTGGAGAGCATCAGGAGCATGGCACTCTTGAAAGCCTGAGGCTCTTCCACTCAAGGTAGACCATGCACACAGAGGCGTGTGGAGCCCTGAAGTATGGCACAACTAGGAGAAATACAAAATCTAGATAATTACATTATCATCTAAGGACAGTATCATCTGTTACCCACAGGCAGGCAGCCTTGGCAGAGCTTCTCATGCCCTCACATGGAGAAGGATCCAAGTTCATAGTAAGACAAGGAAGTGCCACGTGGTCATCCAGGGCTAGTCATGGATCCTGGCTTCCTACCCCAAGCACTCTATCAGTGAGCCGAGTTTTGGAGAATACAGCTTCATAGAAGTACAGACACTTCCTTCAGAGAGCTATAACAGGGAGAAGGTCCAAACGGTGTTAGAAAGTGTTTGGTCACAGTGCCAACCTTGGCAGATGGAATCAACAGAAAGTCTGAGTTTGTAGTTGTGGCAGTAGGCACAGCAGTTTGTGTCACTGCTTAATGTCCAGATTCGATAGGCATCTAGCTATATGGAATTCGGGAAAGTTGTGGGGGGGCTCGAGGTTGAGGTGGAAAGCTGCTTTCTGAAAGCAAAACAGGGTGCATGTTCTGTAGAAAACATAGGGAGTAAGATGAAGTGGAGGGGTAATGGGGACCTGTCATAAGGAATGGGAATGTACGCTTCCGAGGATTCATTTGTAAACAGGGCCCCACCTGGTGTTTGGTCCCGTTAAGTGGATATTCACGTGAACTTTCCAGAACGATACCGAAGGCTTTTGGAATAGGGATAGCTGGGGAATACATGTGTCATCAGCAGTGTGTTCACTATCAAGCTGCAGCTGTAGAGGTGCCGTCCTTCCACTCACTGGATCTTTCTCTTCTCTCTCTTCAGATTAAAATACATAGCGGTCTCATTATGATCCTTGAGCAAGGTAAGACTAACATGTTGGTGTCGTCCTGTCCCCGCCGCCACCGGTGCACACACCAAACCCTGCTTTGGGGGAAGACTATCAGTTGACTAACACTTCCCATGCCACTCACCTTCTTGGACCTCAGCCTTGCCTGCCTCCTTCCTGTCTTTTCCCAAGGGACCCTGCCACTCTCCTGCCTCTACATGTCTGTGCTGCCTGTAGAGCCGAGCTTTGCCTGCCTTTCTTCTGCCGGTACACCCTGGGTGGAATCCGACACCAACACCTGCCATCGTGGAAAATGTCTTTGTCACCTCCCCTTTGTGTGGGGGCTGCAGGGAGCCACGAGTTCAGCCCCCCCTGTTGTTTTTTTTGGGGGGGGCTAGCCTGGAGAAGCAGGATGTTGAGATGAGCTGATAAGATGAAGCACGCACTGGGCTGGCCTTTGACTGCTTGCCTTAGCAGAGGCCTCCAAAGGCCTGCACACAGGGAGGGCAGCTCGTCAAGGAGCGATGCTGAATAGAGCAGCTGGGAAAAGAGAAGCAGACAAAAGCTGGGCAAGTGCAGAGGGCAGCGAACCCCAGGATCTGTCTGCAGTCTAGGACTCAGAGAACAGGCTGAGATGGCAGGTGTGACCTCCCAGCCTGACCTTTCTGTCCTGGGTCTGAGATCCTGACCCAGCACAGATAGCTCAGATGGATGGCAGCCACCACTGCAGGGCTGAGTAAGGACTCTCCGGTATGGCCTGACTGTACTAGTTCTCTGATTCACAGGTAGAAGAGACTTGGCTAGTGACTATGGTAATGCCACTCAGAAGAGAAAGCTGTCATTTACTAGCTTCATACCTATGGTGGTCCCAACACAGATAGAAGTAGCTCACCCAGGACACCTCTGTAGCCCAGCAGGCTGCCATACCTGCTGGCTGGATGAGCAACTGGCCACCATAGTGAGCTGATCCTCTAACCCAGCTGCCTTTTCTCTTCCTCTCAGCCATAGCTTTGAACTGGTCCAAGCAGTATCCCCAAAGGTGACAGCATCTACAGAACACAAGCGCTCTAGTCAGGAAGGGTGAAAAGGATTATAAAATCCCTTCCCAGGAGGAGTTCAGGGGCAAAGATTCGTATTTAAGCCCCCTGTCCCATGTATACCTGCCCCTGCCCTGGCAGAGGTAAAATAGAGCCCAAGTGTCCTTTAAATTAACCCCAGCTTCCATCCCCAGCAGAGGCAGAGCTGGGCCAGCACTGCCAGCAGCTTACAAGTATAGTCACTGTATCAGGAAGGCAGCCCTTATCCTTTGTGCCCATCTATGCATTCTGCAGCTGCTGCCTCTCCATCCATCATGGAGTACAGTGGGCATAGAGGAGCCATTGCAGGATGAAGGTGCACCAGCAGAAAGTTGAGGACTGAAGGAATGCATGGGCCATGGTTGCACTGGATCCTGGTGTGGCTTTGCTCTCTGCACTTGGCTAATGAGGTCTCTGCCTTTAGGAGTATAAACCCCTTGCTTGCAGAGCTTTGAAACGATGGCTCAGGCTTATTCACTGAGACAGCTGGCACTATTCTGTCCATCTGCAGGAGCTCAAGCTGTGAACCCTCTGTCCTCCTTGTCTTCTCTGGTAGAGGGGGATCAGGGTACAGCTAAAATGTTTGCTTCTGACCAAATATTAGTGATTCCTTCGCCTATTATCTTTAATCATTTATTGACTTCGGTTTTTTTTTTTTTGCTTCTTAATCCCATTTCAAACCATAATACCCTCTGAGATTCAGTCAGATTTGTTTTCCCCCTTTACCCCTGAACAAATGTTCCTGCCCACTCTTAACAATTAAGAGATGGAGATATATCCCCAAAAACCCCATCCTTGGGGGGCTAGAGAAATGACTCAACAGTTAAGAGCTCTGGCTTCTCTTCCAGAAGGACCGAGGTTCAAATCCCAACACTCACATGGCAGCTCACAACTATTTGTAACTCCAGTCTCAGGGACCTGACACCCTCTTCTGGCCTCTGTGGTCACCAAGTGGCACACAAACATATATGTAAGCAAAACAAATGCATGTTTAAAGACAACACTGATTCTTAGATGGCCATGTCTAGCTATGCTGCCTTTGTTTAAAGCAACCTGAGCTTTATATTTTTGCAGTGCTCATACTTAGGGCTTCATGCATACTAAGCAAGGGTTCTACAGCTGAGCTACCCAGACTCTTGGTAGCCTGTTTCTGATGAGGAAAACAATGTGAGAGGGGCCCATGCCTCTCTGTCTGCTAACCTCACTGACCCTAGAAGGGAGGGAGGGTGAGCGCTTGTTCTTGGAATCTGAAAGTGAAAAACCATAGGGACAGTGTCTCTACAGGTCAAGGGGACTTGTAAAGTACTGACTTCAGAAGCTCTTCTCAGAGGGTAGGGCAAGGTCAGAAGGCATATAAAAGATAGACCAATAAATAAAAAGCTGTAAGCAAAACAACCCAAATAAATTAACTTCAAACACCAAAAGTGACCATTTCAAAGGCCATGGTCGTAGAGGAAAAGCCCATAGGGAAGAGGCTCCAGGCCCACTGCTTTTGAGGTTTGTTCTGGGCAGAGGCCACTCAGGGAAGCTTAGAGCATTTAAAAATATATTACACGGGGAAGGAAGGGTGATGAAATGATCCTCTCATTCGAAGAGTGGCCCCCCGGGAGACCAACCACCGCCGCAACAGTGGCTGAGTGTTGCAGCAGCATTCCTGTATTCCTCTGAGCTCCCAGACAGCCACCCTGGGGAAGGGAGGAGTGCAGATCTGTGCGTTTTAATTTTATTCCTTGTTCCCTCTAGTGCTAAATAGCTGCATGCTCATCTGGACTCATTCAGACAAGCAATTTAGGCCTGGCCTCTAGTCTCAGGCCCTTTAGGGAATAACTGAGTAGTAACTCATGTGAAGTATCAATATGTAAACACGTAGGGATCCCAGGAACACAACATAGTCACTGACTCTGCCCAGGGCTCCTCCATAGCTTTCACTCCGTGGTACTGCAATAGGATGCCTTTCTCTTCATTCTTTACTTCTGTCCTAGCCAAAAAGGCAGATTTTATTTCAAAGATTCACCAGTTTGTAATTTATTTTATGTTGTAGAAAAATCCAGGGCAAAGACTAAGAGAAATGACATGTCTTTGGTGGTACATTCAACATTCTTGCAAAACACACTGTGGGACAGGGAGGGCATCAAACACTCTTCCCAATGACCAAGTTCCCTTGGTCTTCTGAGCACCATGTGTGCTTCCTCCAGTATATGTCTAGAGAATCTCTTTGACCTCCATGGTGTGAACATTTTCTGCTTCCTTTCCAGGGGTCTTGACCTCCAGCCTGAATATGGGCCCCAAGAAAACCCTCCATGTGGAAGACACAGGCAAGACTCCTCTGCTTTCCCCAGCACCCTCAAATCCAGATTCCAGGAAACTGCCATGTGCTAGCATATACAGCAGGCCTTCCCTTTGCTGGACCCCCAAGGTCAGAAGTGATCTAGTTTGTGTGGAGCTTTGAGACAAGGCTGTGTCCCTCTTGTCTTGGAATCTCATAAACCTTGGGCTTCAGAAGAAGAAAAGAAGACACCATCAACCAGGAACAAGCCTTCTGTGATGTAGAGTAGTCTGGAGCCTCTAGGCAGAACACAGTAATGAATGGTTCAGGACCCACAGGGAAGGGGCAGGGTCACTTGTCTGTATCCCTGAGTTGGTTTCCTGTCATTTATATATGCAGTTTGATTCCCAAAAGGGCTGACAAAACAAATGTGTAATTGTTGGAGGAATTTCTTCCATAATTATTTTGCTAATCCTTATGTTAGGATTTACAGTTTAATTCAAACTTTTCATCATCAAAATTTCATCATCAGGGAAACTGGCTGTCCCCAGGGTCTTTTCCCACAGGAAGTTTCACCTCCATCATTAAGCCTTTCTCTATCTGGTACTTGAGGCCTACTGACGAAGATTCTCCTAACAACACAGTTTGGCCAGATATTCACATAGAGCAATCAGAAGTGTCTAGTAATACAGGGCTGTCCATATGAGAACACTAAGCAGATGAGTAGCATCCTTGCCCAGCTCAGCCCAGCTCAACCTGCCCAGTTCAGCCCAGCCCAGCTCAGCTCAGCTCAGTCCTGCCTTGCCCAATTCAGCCCAGCCCAGCTCAACCCAGCCCTGCTCAGTTTGTCCAGCCCAGCACCACCTACATCAACACACAAGGTTTAGTGCCTGCTGCAGCTCCAAGGCTGACCAGTACCCACATCATGTCCAGTACCCAAAAGCTCACCTGCTGTCTTCGTCCTGCCTATTGCTCAGAGAAAAAGATACGTAAGTTTTAGGGTAACAGGTTCCAAGCAATAGATTCAATGAATATATATGTATTATTTATTAACCTATCTGGCTCCAAGGAGAGTGTGTTGTGCCTACTAGGGATGAGAGAGAGGGAAGGAGTTAAATGTGTCCCTTGCTGGACATCTTAGACATTAGAATCCAGCAACTAAGGGTCAGTTCATAGGGAAGACCTCTGTCTTCCCTCCCTACCCTCTATCCTGGCGCTGTCTCAGAGTTCCAGTGTTGCTTCAATCCCTGCTCTGCCTCCAAGAGAAACACAGAAATTATTGCAGAGGTCATCCCTCCCTTGCTTCATAGTCCTGCTACCTGAGACCATTTTCCAGTGTGCTTGTCTAGGGTGACCCCTTCACTCAGAGCCAGAAAGCAGCTGTGGAATGTAACCTCCAAGGGCTCAGGCATGGGAAGGAAATGCCTGGATGTGGCCACCTCTCTACCCTCCTCTGATCTTTATTTTCACCCATTACTCCTAGCCTGCTTGGTCATTCTCCTGAACCTGCCTATAACATCAGTGTCCATTCTCCCAGAGCCATCTACTGTAGAGTTGATTTGGCTGCTGTTGACTAATAGAGAAAGGGGCAGAGCCAGAAGCCTTTCAGTGAGTGGGAATTCTGAGAGCATCGTTCTAGGAGCACCTTCCAACTGCAGGGAAAATCCATCCACCTGCTTTGAAGGGAATTCTGCAGCCTTCCCCTAATCCCTGTGTGCTGTTTTTCTAAGGATCCAGGATGCATCCTTATTGGGAGCTTAATGGTGATAGAAGGGTAAGGAGATGCTATGGCATTTCCCATTGTGTGGTGATACCTTGATTCATAGCCAACCTACCGTGTGTGTGTGTGTGTGTGTGTGTGTGTGTGTGTGTGTGCGCGCGCACGTGAGAGAGAGAGAGAGAGAGAGAGAGAGAGAGAGAGAGAGAGAGAGAGAGAGAGAGAGAGAGAGAGAGAGAGAGAGAGAGAGAGAGAGAGAGAGAGAGAGAGAGAGATCTGGTGGCCCAGTATTGCTCAGACTTCTATTAATTGATCCGCTCCTTAACTATTTACAAAGTGCCCAGACCTGACTCCTGTAGAGTCACCACAAGCACACCCCACCCCAAGTTCTGGGCACTAGAGGTCCCTGTAGCCCTCTTTCAGTAAGTAGGTATCTGCAAGATTACTATCTTCAGGCTCCAGATACCCCTGTTGTGGAATTCTTGTCATTTTGGAAGTCCTTTATTTTTATTTTTTTCAGTGGTAACAGAACCCAAGACCCAAGACCACAACCCAGGCCCCAGAGGTTTTTGTTTGTTTGGTTGGTTGGTTTTTTTGTTTTTTGTTTTGTTTTGTTTTGGTTTGGTTTTTTTGGTTTTTACGAGGCAGGGTTTCTCTGTATTGTTTTGAAGGCTATCGGTCCAGCCCGGCCTTGAACTCACAGAGATCCGCCTGCCTCTGCCTCCCGAGTGCTGGGATTAAAGGCGTGCGCCACCACCGCCCAGCCACAGAGGTCTTTTTCAACTCCCCCAGCCTTCTGTTCATAATTTCATTTGCTGCCACAAACTAATGCTTTCAGACTTGGAGTGAGAAAGTCAGTTGGAGGTACCAAATTTGACCTTGTTGTGACTTAATGGTTTTACCAACCCCATGCCCTGGGTGACAGCAGGAGTTTATGTCTGTTTGTGTTTTGCTTTTTTAGTTCATGGGCCTTGGATTGGTAATAGCTCTGGTTAGAGACTTAGAGTTGGGGAGTGGGGATTCATTCTGGCAACTATGTTTGGTTGGATTTAGCAGTTCTTGTTATTTGGGGTGGAAAATTGAAATGATCAAGTTCAGTGTTTCTTTTTTTTTTCAGTTGGAAAAGCAAATATTGTGTTTTTATAATAAATGTCTTTTAGCAAAATTGCTAAGGGTCACTTATCTAGTAGAGACCCTCCAGAGAGCAGCTCATCACATTAGTATTAGTAGGTCAACCATCTGTAATAAAAGTGGCCCTAATTACCCCGAAGTGTGATAAGACACTCGGGCTCCTGCAGGGCCTGGCCAGTGCCCTTACTTCTCAGCATGCTGATTTCCAGATTTCCATAAAGAGGGAAACTTGATGTTTGTATTCTTGTTGATTAGACTTTTATGCTTTAAAAAATAGTAATCCTGCAAAATTATGACTTTTTAAAAGTAGTCATATCTTCAGCAGATAGGAGAAAAGAAATTTAAGTGACTTTTAAAGTGTCTTCAGCAGCCACGTTTGCAGCTCTTGAGAACCCCCGGGGAATGGACTCTGACTTTGTAATTGGCTGGTTAGTAGGACCCTTAGCCTTATAAAGGAGACCACACAGCTCCAGTGAGTCATGCAAATCCTGTCTTCCTGACTGTCCTCAGGTGTCACTTCCTTCTTGCCACTAACCTGTAATGGAGGTTTGATGGGCCCTCTAAACTTTCCAGTGTGTCTTATGCGTAGCTGTGTTACTCCATACCTACTGAAGGGGGTGCCACATCTAAGGGAAACTCGTCCTTGTATTTGCACCCATGTTCTATGTGTATGACATATGCAGTAGGCAAATGTTTTCTTAATTTCAGGTCTACCATGTGTAGTATGTGTAAATAGGGGGAAAACTGATAGAGATGATAAATTAAGTTATAGCATGTTGTTTGATTGTTTTGAGGTTTCTTGTTATTTAACTTCCCAATGCTGCATATCTAGGTTGTTGTGAGGTGGGGGAGACCTCCAAGTCTGCCCCATCTTGACAGGAGTGTGTGTGTGCACTAGGACACACTCCACAGAGGCAGCCATGCTGGGAAAACACTTAGCTCCTTAATGGTGCCACTCAACTCCAGTTCATTCATGTTCGTTCTGATTTCCTGGGATGATTTGATGAGTCAGAAGCACAGCACCTAGGTGCTGCATGTTCCTGACATTCTCATAGATTGTAGGAAAATAAAAGTTTATCCCAACATCTAATAAAAAGTTGATTTGCATTTTTATTGAACAAAGTTATTCAAAAACATTTTGTAAACCAAAGCCAACAGGTGTTCAGTACGGTAGCTGATACCATTCATAAAGCTTACACATGCATATTGATGTAGAATCTACCTCAGGGTTCATGGTGTAGAATGCTAATATTCAACCTGCAGCCTCTGATAATCACAGAATAAACTTCTGCATATATGGTTCCTCAAGACTCTGATCTACAGCTAGGAACACCATCCATGTCCTCCATCCATCGTCTCACCTAATTAAACCCACCCTTGTCTTCATGATGGCACTAGTGGGCCAGTATGCCCTGGTTTTTTTTTTTTCTTGTTGTTGTTGTTGTTTGGTTGGTTGGGTTATTTTGTTTGTTTGTTTTGTTTTTCGAGACAGGATTTCTCTGTGGCTTTGGAGGCTGTCCTGGAACAGCCTAGTCTTAAACTCAGAGATGCACCTACCTTTCCCTCCCAAGTGCTGGGATTAAAGGCGTGTGCCACCACTGCCTGGCTGCCCTGTTTTTATAACTCGTAATGAGCATCAGAGTGACTTTTGACCCCTGCTTTGTCTTTCCTAGGCAGATCCCTGTTTTAGCTAGAGTCCCTGCCACTAAGGAGCAAGGTATATTTGAGAATTTTGTTATTAGGTGACAGACAATGTGTAATTTGGCCAGGTACTGATATTTCCTGCCTCAGGACTCCAGCAGTCACATTACAGCTTAGCCTGTGGTCTCTGAGAGCATAGTGGGCCACTCCATGTTCCAGACAACAGTGAATTCTCGGGATGCTGAACAACCAAGTTTGTAAAAGTCATTCACTTGTTCCTTTAGCAAATGCTTGCAGAATGTGCTAGTGTCCTGAGAAAGGGTCTAGGGAGTCAAGTGCAAAGTGGGGCCTGCATTGACCTGGCTTTGTTTTAGCTTATAACCAAGAGCTTATATATGTAGTTCCATCTAGAAACAACTCAAGTGTTGTGAGCCAGAAGTAGTACCTCACAGCCTTCTGCTTCATTTGGGCATTTCTAAGAAGGACTCAGATTCCTGCCTCATTTTCTCCCATGGTATAACTAAAGCATCTGCATCCCTCATAGCTCCCACAGAAGGTGATGGATGCCCAGAAATTGACTGAGGAGCCCTGCTGATAGCATTCCAGGAAGCCCCATGTGTCTGTGGAGCTGGGTAGCTCACTGCTCTACAGCTGCTCCTTGGACCTGAGTCCCTCCCTCTTGCTAACTGTTCAGCTCTGCAGATGGCCTTCCAGGATGCACAGGGAGCTTTCCTCTGGGGTCATATTGGGATACTTTTCAGATATGGAAATGAGCACTTGAAAGGCAAAGACTGTTGTCACTATTGTCGCATATTTATAGCAAAAAGGCAGGAAGGGGTTGATTCTCAGCACCATGTTTCCTGTGAGAGATTGAGTCATCTTCAGAAGCCCTCATCAGCACCCTCAGACCATTACATAAAGAATCCAGCTTCCACTACAAAGGACTGTCAGAAGAATGCACCTGTAGGGGTGGGTTTGTTTTGTTTTGTTTGTTTAGTATTCCAGGAGAAATGCCCGTTTCCTTCAGTGGAGTGTCTCCTAATGGGAAGATACTGAATTTACAGTTACACTATACACACATCTCTGGTGTAGCTTTGTGTGTGTCATCTAAGCCAAGGCCACCTGATGAAAATGCTTATATCAAGAAGTACTATTCGGGCTGGAGCGATGGTTCAGTGGTTGGGAACACTGGCTGTTCTTTCAGAGGACCTGAGTTCAGTTCCCAGCATCCACATGGCAGCTCCCAGCTGCCTGTAACTCCAGTTCCAGGAGGTCTGATATCCCCATACAGACACACATGAAGGCAGAACACCAATGCATATAAAATAAAGATGAATAAAATTTTTAAAAAGTACTATTCTCATTTGCTCTTCTATGAATTGATATGGTTTTAATTGCATTTCATTTAAAGGAAAAAGCAAAATCAATGGAGACTGTGGGAAAAGATCACAAAGTAAACTTCTCTACATATGTGGTTCCTTAACACCCTTACAGCTGGGAACACCATCCCTGTCCTGCTTCTACTTCTGCTATAAAAAACTGATGCCTGAAGGTGTTACCTCACTGGCTTTCATACAGCTAGGCTGGGGCTGCAGCCAGGAGTTGAGTTTCCTGTGTTCCGTGTGTAGTGGCATCTCCATTTAGCACCAATAACTGTTTTTAAGCAGTACAGGAACTGTTTTTTGGACAGTGTAGTTTTCGAGTGCCCATTGTAGTTTAGTCACAGAAAGGATGTTTCTAAGTCCACATCTGAGGCCACCTTGAGTCTATTGTCAGACGAGCCAGCAAAGTTTTGGCACTGTGAGGATCTGGTTTTCCAGAAATATGACCTGTCCTTGTCGTCTACATAAAGAACACTTGGAATCAACCCTTACTGGGAATTCAAAAACTACCAGATAGCAAATTCCTGGAAAGGCAGATTGCATGGGTCTTAACTGAAAAGAAATAGACTTTGAAAAGAAAGATCTGGCACCAAGGCAGGCTTGGTGTAGTGCCCAGGCAGGTTGACCACACCCTGGGAGGCCATTCCCACCCTCTGGAGTCAAAGAGCTATGTGGTGTTTACCACTTGCTTGCTCACTTGCTACCATTTGGTAAAAGTTGTGATTGCCTCCTAAAAGGTAAAGATGCACCAAGACCTTTGAACACCACAGCGACCACCAGCAAGTGGTTGGCTTCCAAAAATCAAGGGTTGGGTTTTTCACATGCTGTCTGCTGTAGCATCTCTCCAGCCTGGCTGATGGCCCAACTGGGGAAGGCAAGGGCATGTCTGTAACATGCTCCCCCTGCCAAAAGGCACTTTCATGTGTGCCCCAAAGTAGCTGACCAGCAGCACCACAGCAGGGGACCCTGGGAAATGACATCCCTGCTAAAGGTCACTGAAAAGAACTTGCTGGAACTGGATCATGCTTTTTGTGGTTGTTAGAATTTTACAAGAAAAATATTTTTAATACCGAAGTCTCTACTAGCCTAAATTAAATTGGATAATATGAGAAGGGGTATGGATTTAAGCTGCTGTGTTATATATGTGGATAAACACTTGCCAAGCATGCACGAGGTCCCAGGTTTGATCCCTAGCACTAAAGAAAGAAAAGGTTGGTGTGTGTGTGTGTGTGTGTGTGTGTGTGTGTGTGTGTGTGTGTGTGTAGGTAGGTAGGTAGGTAATTTTAAAAATAATGTAGAAGACTCTGCTCTTTTTATAACTAAAATCAGATAAACTAGGGAGTCCTTGTTGGCCTCTTTCATACCACATCAGACATGAAAAGCACAGGTTTAATATCATACTGAGGGCTGGAGAGATGCTCAGAGGTTAAGAGCACTGGCTGTTCTTCTAGAGGTCATGAGTTCAATTCCCAGCAACCACATGGTGGCTCACAGCCACCTCTTCTGGTGTGCAGTCATACATGCAGGCAGAATACTATGTACATATTAAATAAATAAATCTTTTAAAAAAGCATACTAATATGCTGCCTTCCATATCAGACTACATTATATATGTGATTGAAAATTCCATTTAAGACATTTAAGAAAGAAATAACAGATGCATTAAATGGTCTCAGGAACAAGGATGCCTTTTCCTGTGCGTCCAGGTGAAATTTTTAATCTCACATTTATGTATCCCCTCGCTCTCTTCTGGCAAAATGCTCATTGAGTCTGACAGACTATTTTACATGAATAGGTCCCCGCTCATCAGCCTCCTCCTTGGCGTGGGGTCCTAGGGTCTGAAAATTGGAGTGTGCTTTTCACTGAGGGTGTGAAGTGTGGAGGGACGGCTATTACAGATCCTGAAAGGATCTTTTTGACTTCAGAAAATAGCCTGGCCAAGAAAGGCTTTTTTCCATGAATACTCACAGACTGCATTATGCTCCTCAGATGATAGAGGTGAGCACTTTTGATCAATATTCCCCAAGAAACGCTGCCGGGCTAAGTGGGACCCAAGGGCCTCTGGGAGACACCCCTCCCTCAGAGCTGCTACACCTCTGCAGCACGTTTCTCACCAATGCTTTGAGACAGAGCACCAGCTCTCCTAATCACTGACAGCCCATTCTGTCCCCTGGCTACTCTAGCTTTCCTATGGGAGCATTTTGTCACCTCCATTTCAGAAAAAGCCACAGGTAGAAGAAAGACTTCAACAGGAGCTTCTGAATCAAGGAAGGTTTGTTTGTTCACTTAGTGTCACTGAGATTGCAATGACATGACAGTATGAATGCACAATGCCCCAGATACACTATACATTTTCTCTTCCATTTCTGCCCCCATCCCAACTTCTCTCTCCATGACAATGGTAGGCAGGTTATTAAAAAAACAAATTCTCAAAGCCTTCTCTCCAGATTCATGCAAACACATACACAAAGACGTTGACTTTTATTTTATACAGAAATAGCTTTATATGTTATCTGGTACTCTGATGTTCTTTTAAGATTATGTCATAGGTGTGCATATCTCTAATTCATCATGCTTAGTGGCCGCATATTATTCCTCGATATGGAATTCAATTTCCTTGCACCTCGTGTAAGCATTAAAGTGGTCTCCAGTGTTCTTGTAACAATACTACTTCAATAAACACCATCACACTTCTACCCTGGCATGTGACTGCTTTTATTTCTGTTGTTTTTGTTTTTCAAGACAGGGTTTCTCTGTATTGTTTGGAAGCTGTCCTGGAACTCACCCTGTAGACCAGGCTGGCCTCCAACTCTCAGAGATCTGCCTGCCTCTGCCTCCCAAGTGCTGGGATTAAAGGAGTGCACCACCACCACCCAGTCTGTTTTTGTGAACAAACTTCCAAAACTGAAATAAGTGAGTATTCCAACTTGGATCTGGAATGTGCTGCAAAGGTTTCTGGGTCAAAGGATCGGTTGATCTGTGGAACCAATAGAACACAGGGAAAGTGCTGTGCCTCTCAAGATTAGGAGACAAAGGTATCACAGTCTCCTTCCTGGCCTTTTAAATAGCTTGTTCTAGAAAGGCTGGCATGCATGCTGTGGGGACAGTCAAACAGTGCTGCAGAGACTAGATGCCACATGGGGTCATCAGATCAGAAGCCACCCCTGACACCATCAACTTTTCACTTGAGTGCAGACCTGTTTGACAGATAAGTGTAACTTCTTTTTTAATTAAAAAATAGATTTATTTAACCTATGTTATATGTATGAGTGTTTTGCCTTTATGATTATCTGTACATCACATGCCTGGCACCCATGAAGATCAAAAGACAGCATCAGATCCCCCTGGAACTAAAGTTACAGATAGTTGCAAGCTACCGTGTGGATGCTGAAAACTGAACTCAGGTCCTCTGGAAGTGCAGCCAGTGCTCCTAACCACTGTGACATCTCTCCAGCCCCAATAACTCTAATATCCTAGTTTATAGTCCCTCAACCAAGCATGCAACTGAATTTCTTTGTATTTGTTAATTTTTGACCATTTTAGTAATCCAGGTTGATTTGACTATGAACTCAATCCTCCTGCCTCAGCAATTCTGGGCAGTGGGATGGAAGGTGTACACCACTCATGCCCCACTGCTTCTGAATTCCTGCTCCATGTAAATAATTAGGTCAAATGAGTAAGTGCTGCTGCTCTTACCCACTGAGTTCTGCAGTGATTTGTTGTTATATGGTCAAAGTAACGTAAGCACACTAATCCCATGGATAGAAACTAGGACACTGGTTGTTTTGAAGCTGAGCCCAAGATAATGAAAAGGAAACATTTACATATAGCAGTAAATTCTAACAGTGGTTCAAATTCCATGGTGAGATATAGTGTACCCTCATCCTCCGCATTTAAACCACAGTATTTCTTGAAAAGGGTGCCATACTAGGGACCCAGAGGCCTGGGTTCCAGGTATGCCTAGAAAAAAAGTCATGTAATCTAGGCAAAGTAGTCAACAATCATACACAAAGTGATGATGGATCATGCTACTTTCTACACAGGGTTGAAGTGAAGACCAAAAAGAAAAGCTCACAGTGAATATCCTGAAAAGTCAGAGAGAACTCTAAAAATGCCAGATATTTATTATATAGTGAGTCATCCCCAAAACTCAGCCAACATGTTACTTTTCTCTTTCGAGGCTTCAGGCCCATCTAGGCCATTGTTACCTGGGCTCTCTCAAGCAAATGTCACAAGGGGTGAAAGGAACCGGTGTTCTGTTCCCTCCCATGTCTGGGGTTGATTCTCAATCTTGACTGAGACCCCAGCTTAGTCTGACTTTGGACTTTCTCATGGTGGGGGACTGAGACCAAGAGAGACGCAGGCAGAAGATGCATGGCCATACCTAACCTCACATAGAAGTCACACTTCGGGATTCCTTGGTGTTACTTCTACTGTATTTTAAGGAAGCATTCAGAGATCCATTCAGTCTTATAAGGGAAAGGATGGATACAGACGTTGTTTCACAATGGGACACATGTAAAGGAATTTGAAGAAATACTTTAAAACCTGTACTAAGTACATTAGTATCATGTGAAACTTTTAACAAAAAAAAATTCCAAAGAGCAAGAGAATTGAGTTCTTGCTAGCACTTGACCTGAATAATTCAATTAATCTTCCATCAAAGTACTACCCAAGCCCAACCTCGCTAACTTCTGAGATCAGACAAAATTGGTCACATTCAGGGGATGGCCATAGACAACTCATTTAATCCTAACAATAGCCCTGGGAGGTACTTAGTCAGACATCTCAATATAATTTAGCTGGCTGAAGTAGATGCATTATTAAATTACAGGTTCCTAGATACCTCCCTTTATGTCTAGGAGGGTCACATAGTAAGATGTTGGGGCTAAAATATTCAGGAATAGTCCAATTGTCTTACCACACAAGTCATTTCATGATATTGAACCTTATGATGGCTACTTCTGTGAGACAAATCACTTTCTGTCTCTCCCCAACATGAACTGCACTTGATACCATCTCCTTGGCATTCCTTTTATGAATCTATGTCTAGTGGTTCATCTGATCAGAGATCAGGCATCCCTAACCTCAGAGTTGAACATTGGTGTTCATGTGTAACCTATAAGGTTTTCTATAGCCTTAGGAAGAGCCTAGCTGCAAGGGAGGCTAGAAAGGATATTTTGGGAGTTTTGCCTTTGGGAGACTGGATTCATTAAGTGGGAGATTATCTTAGCACAGAGAGGTTATTCAAAGGTATGGTACAAGTAGAAAATATAATCAATGTCCAATACATGTGAATGCTACCTTTTCCTCATTTTATCAATAATAAAATGGTCAGAAAGAAGACTGATGGAGCTGGAGAGATGGCTCAAAGATTAAGAGCACTGACTGCTCTTCCAGAGGTCTTGAGTTCAATTCCCAGCAACCACATGGTGGCTCACAACCATCTACAATTCAATCTGGTGTATATGTAATAAATAAATAAATCTAAAAAAAAAGAAAGAAGACTGATAACTTGCATAAAGCCACACAACTCTTAATGGTAGAGACAAGAGGATGTATTTGTGCTCTCATCCCATGGAATCTCAGCAGGTACAACATGCCAGAGAAGGAATGGCATGCCTTTATATATGAGCTTGTAAAATCCCTCCACATTGAGAAAGAAAGGGAAATTCCAGAAATTACAGTTGTGACATGATCTTTGAAGCATAAATTTTACCTTTGTGGGTGACAGTTATTCTGGAAGTCAAATACAGTGCCTTGTGCTTGCTATGTAAGCACTCTGTCACTGATTTGAATATGACATGTCTTCTTATATGCTCATGTGTTAAAGGATTGATTCCCCAAGTGATTACTATACTGTAGGAGGTGGTGGAACCTTCTGGAAGTAGGGCATAGCTAGAGGATGTAGATCACTGGAGGGAAGTATGTCCTTGAAGAATTTTTTTGAAGATTTGTTATGTATACAGTGTTTGGTGTATGCCTGCAGGCCAGAAGAGGGCGCCAGATCTCATTACAGACTCCTGTGAGCCACCATGTGGTTGCTGGGAATTGAACTCAGGACCTCTGGAAGAAAAGCCAGTGCTCTTAACCTCTAAGCCGTCTCTCCAGCCCCAAAGAATATGTTTTGTCCTCTGTCTCTCTCTCTCTCTCTCTCTCTCTCTCTCTCTCTCTCTCTCTCTCACACACACACACACACTCTCTCGCTCTCTCTCACTCTCCCTCCCTCCCTCCCCCTCTGTGTGTGTGTGTGTGTGTGTGTGTGTGTGTGTGTGTGTGTGTGTGTGTGTCTGCTTCCTGGGCACCATAAGGTGAGCAGTGTTGTTCAACCTTTCCCATTATCCCATTATCTGCTTCATGGGATGAAGCCTCTGAAATCATAAGCCAAAAAAAAATTCACTCCTTTCAAATGGTTGTTCTCAGATACTTGACACAGTAACAACAAACTGTCCAATACAATGTAATGTTTTCTTTAAAGTTTCTAGAAGGTGTGGTGGCACAAGACTGTATGTAACTCCAGAACTTCAGTGGCTGAGGCAAGAGGATTCCTTTAAGTTCAAGGCCAGCCTAGGATAAATACAAAACCCTGTATCAAACAAAAACAAAGTTTCCAACTCATGAGAGTCAGAGTCTGGACTTGTTTGATGTGTTGAGCAGAATTGTGTCTGCATCCCTCTGCTGTCCTTCAGACCTAAATTGTTCAGGGTTATTTTTTTCCTTCCCTCATTCACATTGTTTGTCATGTTCAGGGATGGCTTGTTAACTGGCCTTCAGGTATATAACAGTGAGTGATTTCCACACCAAGAGTTTTTAGAACCAAAATGGGAAGTAAAGAACCAGCTAGGAGGTAGCATAGAAAGCCATCTCAGAGTAATTTTCCCACCATGCTATGGCTTAAAATGCCACCATCTATTTCTCTTTCTAATTGTTTGCATTTGCAGTCTATTAAAGCAAAATAGAATCTACAAATTTGGTATTATGCAAGTGTGGTTGTGGTTGGAGTATTGAATGTATCTGATTTTTCTCAAGATTTTTGAAGAAATGTTCTCCTGTGTTTGATATAGAAGACTGCTTTTCTCTCACCGGGTGGGAGATGCATCGTCTGACTCCTGATTGGGGATTAGAACTGTGCATGTCCTAGCCCCTTGGCAAGAGGACAGAGCTCACCATCCACGTGAATTCTCACATACTAGAATGTTTGCCACCCTGGGTTGCTCTCTTTGCACCAGTATGGTCAGCTATAAGCCTGTCTCTTGTAGGGCCCCTTATGTCCTCACCTGTTCCACAGATGCTGATCAATGAAACCTTGTAGAGTACCTGTGAGAACTCGGTGAGTCACTCTCATGAAGACCACAGACGAGGCTAAACTCAAGTGTAGCTGCTAATACAGTTATAGATGCATCATTAGTTGGAGCTAGTGGCCCCTGGTTAATATTTCAAAACACCAACTCTTCTTAGCTCAAACCTGCTGTTTGTCCAACCAGGATGACTCAATCTGTGGGCAACAGTTAACTCTAAATCCATCCACACAGCATCCACACAGACTTCCTGGCATCTTTCAGGTTCTAATGCAGTGACAGGTCCATGAGGTCTGCAGTTCTGTCTGCTCTTCAAACTGGCTTCCACATGATGCAGATGCAGTGAGTCTATGGTCAGCAAAGTCGAGAAAACGCAAATTAATAGCCTACAGCCTGTT